TGGATTAATAATCCCAATTCCATGCTCTAATTCTTCCAATCAAATATGTCCTAAGAGAAATATTTAAGATTCTTGTAATTGAGAATCTCTGTCAAATTGTTTAGCGTAATTTTTACTTACAACGGTGTTATTAGCTATTACTTAAATAAACTAAAAAAAATAAATTAAATGTGACGTAAAAAAAAAGTTAAGTAGTCTGAGTGAAATTGTCAACAAACCACATATAAAACATAAATAGAGCAATTTAGATGAACATAAGTTGACATAAAAGAAAAGTAGAGCAATCTTAGTAAAATTGTATTTTTTATAATAAAAAAAATAAAAAATAAAAAACACAAGTCTAACCAATCACATGAAATATAGATAGAGCAATTTGGATGAACATAAGTTACTTAAAGGAAAAGTAGACCAATCTGAGTAAAATTGTATTATATGAGACAAGTCTAACCAACCACATATATCATAAATAGATCAATCTGAGTAAAACTGTTTTTTTTCTTTTTTTTCTTTTTTTTTAATCAAAAACAAGTCTAACCAGCCATATCAAGCACAGCAATAGCGAATGGCAAGACATCACATAAAAGTGAAGCAAAATGGTAACTTTTGCTACCTATAACTCTACTCACACAGCTGCAAATAATGTAACTTTTTTTCATTGGAATTGGAAAAATCTCTACATATATCCACCACTAGAGAAAAACAAGACATCAACTAATATATCCATGTCTCTGATCCAAAAAACAAGAACTAATATATCCAAATCATTGGGCAAACCAGCATCCAATTGCTTCTTGGATGCACACATGGTTTTTATCATCAAACCTGTGGAGGAAAAAAAAAAATTTAAAAAAAAAAAAAGGGCTAGATTCATAGCCCCCCTTCAATGTACCAATCCACAAATCTCTTTCGATTCTCTTCCCAATGACCCACAAAAAAAATGGCAAAAATCACTACCAGTAGATGAACTTTTCATCTACCAAATATACCCCCTCCACTCTCAAGGGCGTGTATGTCATATCATGACTATATTATCTACTCTATTCTATCATCAATCACAGCAGATTGTTAACTTTAAAAAAAAGGAACTTTTCAAATTCAAAGATCAAACCCAGAAGTCGTGTCAAAAGCTTATTTCAGAAGCGCTTCTTGGAGAAGCCAAATCGATCAGAGTAAAGCGCTTTTACGCGGCCGAGCAATCGGTCCCGCCGTCGATCGGAACCCTTTAACGACCGGGTCCAGTACGCAGCAGTGAAACGGCGCCGTAATTCCCTTCCTTCTCGCATTTGCACACTCCTCGCAAAACGGTCGAGTCGCGATCGAATCCCCAAATCTCTCTTCCGAAAACGAATCGGAATCGGAATCCAAACCCAAATCCAAATTCAGAGTCGAAATCGCATTCGAGTTCATCAACATCGCGTAATTCTCTCTCTGAATCTGCAAATTCATCAACCTCTCGTTGTAATTCAAGAACTCCGGCGACGCAATCTGATTGTAGTGCCCTAGATTGTTCACCTCCGGTTGGTTTCGCCGGAGAAGAAGCAACTTTTCCGGCAAGTAATCAACGAATTCAACCCCACTACCACCACCACCCTGTTTTTGCTTCGGCTTCGGCCTTCGATTCCTTCTCGTCCGCTTCAACACAGCGAGGAAGAAACAGTCGGTTTCCTTGACAACCGCCGCGAAGTTCATTTTGCCGGTGACTGGTATTTTCCGGCGAACCTCGGTAGATGACTTGGGCTTCTTGCAATCAACAAGGTAAATGGTGATCTGGTTCGGAGATATTCCGATCTTCTGGCTCAGACCCGATTGAAAATTCTTGAAATCTTGCGAGGCTTCAATCCTCACACTACCCATGTTAATTTCTCGCTCCCCGTCGTAGAACACCACCGGAAAATTCGCTCCGCCACCGTCCACCATCTTCACCGAGAGAGAGAGAGTCTCAGATGGGTCGAATATCGAGAGAGAGGGTTTTATAGAGTGAGAGGAGGTGAGGGGGTTAGGGTTGGGTTTGTAGATTTGATTAGGCGGTGGGGTATTTATGGGATAAAAATTTATATACAGATTTCAGAGTAAGGTTAGGGAAGCTATCAACTAGCTTCGGGACTCATATAGGGAAACATCTTTGGAGAAGTTATCGGGTGGTTTTAGATCATTACTTTATCTTTTTAATTGTGATAGATTTAATAAATTACACCAATGAAAATTAAGATACGAGATTACATTTATTTGCCCCAAATGCAGTGTATAATTCTCTGGGGTTTGAGTTGAGTACATGCGTGGGCTTCAAGTAAATGGCTGTGTGTGTGTGTGTGTGTGTGTGTGTGTGTGTGTGTGTGTGAGAGAGAGTGTGTGTGTGTGTGTGTGTGTGTGTGAGAGAGAGATGTGGGTTTGTGCTGTTGGGTTTATCACTGTATGCTAATTTTTATCCCCACGCTCTCAAAATTTAATGGGTTGAATTGCCACCATTTATGTTAGTTATTTACGTTCATACCCTGCATTCCAGCCTGTAGGACAGCATTGTCCTCCTCTGGCAACATCAAGGTTAAGGTTCACTTATGTTTATTTTTTCAAATTAAAAATTATAGATAAAAATAGACAAATTATAGGGTAAATGCTTAAAACACCTGTCTTATATAATTTTAAAAATTATATTCTGTTTTTTTAAATTTTTAATGGCATAATAAATTATTCATTTTATTAATAAATTATTAAGTCAATTAATAACTTTTTATGATATTATAAGTATATTTCAATTAACAACTAAATAATTTTATTGTTGTATAAGAATAATTAGAAATTTTATTTTTCGATTAATTGTGTTAAATAAAAATTTATGATAAGGAGATATTTGTAATTTTTAAAATCATATGATGTAATTCGTATTTTAAATACATTTTTGAATAATTTATCCAAAAAATAATTACAAAAAGTAAAATTTACCAATAAAATATCAAAAATGCCCTTTCTCTTAATCTCTCTTTTCATTCCTTCCTTTGTCTTCCCAACGTCCTTCCATACTAGCCATTCCTCTCATATCCATAACAATCTTTTCCTCAATTGAATCCTCCACAAAAGCACCAAAAATCTCAAATCGTTTTTCAATATTTTGAACATGAATAGAGATTTAAGGTTTGGAATATCAATTGTACATGGCAAGGTTTGGAATATCAATTGTATATGGCAATTGTGATGTTGCAGTACTGTGGGAAGTGAGCGTAGGATGTTGCGATGGTACCGACAATAGAGAGGGGTTGAGTTGGCTGAAAGGGTTGGGGGAGGGATGGGTCTTGATGGCATCTTTGAATGATAGAAGTGATTGATTAGAGCGTACACTGAGAATGATAAAAAAGATAAGGGCAAATTACATAAATAGTCTCTATAGTTTGGAGTTTGTGTTAATTTGGTCCCTGATTTTTTAATTGTGACACATTTGATCCTGAATTTTAAATCTTGTTTCAAATAAGGACAATTGAAGATACCATTATTTAATTTTAAGGGCAAAATTGTCAATTTAATAAAATATAACTAATTTGACAAAAATAAATGTCAAAAAAATATTTTTAATTTTTTTAAAATTATTTTTATCCACCAATGTTAAAATTATGTAAAATTGATAAAAATTAATAAAAATTACATGATTAATTTTTTTAAAATTAATTTTACATGATTATCTTTCAAACACATAATAAAAATTAATTTGGTAAAAAAAATAAATAAATGTTTAAAAGATTTATTAATTTTACATAATTTTATTTTTAGTGGGTAAAAATAATTTTTAAAAATTAAAAAATATTTGTTTGACATTTATTTTGGTCAAATTAGTTTATATTTTATCAAATTGATAATTTTACCCTTGAAAAATCTAATGATATCTTCAATTGTTTTTATTTAGAATAAGATTTAAAATTCAGTGTCAAATGTGTCACAATTGAAAAGTCAATGACCAAAATGACACAAGTCTCAAACCATAGGTACTAATAGTGTAATTCACCCAAAAGACAAAGGGCAAAAGAGTAAAAAAATATTATGCTCTTGCGATTATTTTTTAACTCCCCATTCCTCGCATAATTAAAAATTTCTTTAATGCTTTTGTAATTTTTTTTTCTTACACTTTATTCTTTAAATATAATTTCTCTAATAAAATTCATTTGACAAGAAATTTTATCTACTGTTTTATGTATTAGTAAATTTCAAGATGATATTTTAAATCAAAAATTTTTACTTCGTGTTGATTGTAAATCTGCTAAGTATGTTTTCGAAAAAGATGTACAAAATCTTACTAATAAACAAATTTTTGCCCGATGACAATCTATATCAAGTATTTTTTATTTTGACATTGAATATAAGTTTTCATTTAATCTTTCATCAATACCCTTTCTGCTCACCACCATTTTCAACTATCATTGTGGGCATAATCCCATCCCCGATAGTCAACAATCACCTCACTTTTTTGGCCTTCTTAAAAACATGAGTAAATCAATCTTGGGTATAAACCAATTTAGACATGTTTTGTAAATTGATTGGGCCAAGTAGCTTGAAATGTCATCAACAATAGTGACAAAACAAAAAATTGATAAATGAATTGGTGGAGATGCGGCGGTTTTGTGCAACTGACAGTCATGAGGATCGGCAAATGGTTTTGAATACTTCTTTAAAATTATATACACAATGAGACAGCATGATGCCAAATTTATGTTCAATTTCTTGTCTTTGGCACCACCATTTTAATTGGCTAGCTAACCAGAATTGTCTTCACCTTAGGCAGAATAATTTACATTAAAGGATATTTTAGTCATTTTAAAATAAACAATTATTCTCAAAATAAGTTGTTCCATCTATTCAATAAAATGGCATTGGCATAATTTGCAGGACCAAATGGTTCCAAGAGAATTTATCACGTATGTACTTTGTGATTTCATTCACAGGGAGAAATTAAAAGTATAGCAAAGTATTTAATACAACTTATAATTTATGAAATAAAAATAATTTAAATAAATTGATTATTGAAAAGCAATGAAAAGAATGCTTTTAACTTCTGTTGTTTGATTATCATATTTTAGTTTGTTGAAACTGTACTAAACAAGTGAACTCTGGCAAAAGAAGGCTGAACCTTGACAGCAATGAATAGGACAAACACCCTGTTCATTTTCATTATGCAACATTTTGGTTCAAATGGATCCATAGAACATAGCATGGAAGTTTAAAAAAGAGATTGATTCATTAATGGTTGGAGCTTGTAATTTTATGTATGATTTGGGTAAATGTGGCCTAGCAATCCAAATCAGTGGTTTTGTACACCAAGAATGAGGCAGTGCCGATGTAACTAGTCGCCAATGACTTTCCAGCTGAGGTTGGCTGTGAAAATGCTAACTGAGAGCGTTCGAGGACGACTCCCATGCAGAAAGTTCTCCTGCATTGAAGAAAAATATGGGACTATAAATTTAAAAAAATCAAAATGGTGAATAGCAGTAAATACAGAGTCAGTCCTCAAGACAACAAATTACAATATATTCAAGTTCATTTGAACAAATTTGAGTTTTTAAGCAAAGTTTAGAACAAATTCTATCTTCAATGTTTTTTGAAAGAGAAAATCTGTACCCACATTTTCATTTGAATTTTTTGGTGAAAATGACAGGTCCCCAAATTTACATCCTCACTGTTCTTTGACAATTACATTAACAAGATGTCTACAAAAATGCAATGTTTTATTTTAGGAGTCAAAGGGGATCGATAGTACACAAGTGGATGTTTGGAAAGTAAGTTTTTATGTAAATTTTTGTAGTTGTAAGATATTATTGAATAAAAAAATTTTGATATTTGGAAAGATAGTTGAATTTTTTTGTGATTGGATGTGATATTTGTGAGAAAAACAATGAAATGATTATGGGATTAGATGTGATACTTTGTTTGGATGTATTTTTTTTTATTTTGCAAAAAATTGTCTTTTAGTGAAAAAAATCAAAAAAAAAATCTCAAACCCAAATTCCCAAACACCACACTCAACTGCACAAAAAGGAGCAACTGCACAAAAATGTTCAACAAAAACAAATAATTCAGAGCAGGTCCATTAATAAGGCTGCAAACGAACCGAACTGAATTTTAATATATTTGGGCTTATTTATTAATATTTTAACGAGTTTAAACTCAATAAAAATTTAACAAACAAAACTCGAACCGCGTTGATTTAACCCTGACTCGAGTTCGAGCCTATTCACAAGTCTTAACGAGCCAAACAAATTATAAATTCATAATTACATATAATACTAAAATTACAATTGAAACTTTAATTATACAATTATATATATATAAACATACTAAAAAAAAGTCAATATTTCACCAATATAATAATATCTACCACTATTATTATATAAATATATTATTTATAGTTAATTATTATTTACATAAAAATAAATTTAACTATTACTTACATTTATATTATTTAAATATATAAATAACATATTTTTCGTATATGTTTTTACATTATTTAATATATAAATAATATATTTATTCTATTATTTAAATAAATGTTTAACGAGCCAATTAACAAGCTGAGATTTAGTATATTTAAGCTTGTTTATCAACATTCTAACAAGCTTGAACTCGAACGTAATAAAAATTTAACGAATTGAGTTTCGACGAGTCAAATTCGAGCCTGTTCACGAATGACTCTATTCATTGACAGCCCTATTAATAACAAATTCAAACGAACACCAATTCTAACTGTCGGAGAAGAGAATGAAATGAAACTATGCGAAGAAAAGTAGCCAAGTTCAAGTTCTCTCTAAAGAGAATTGAAAATTAACTGGCATAAATACAAATATGCAATGGTCAATACTTTGCTTAAAACCTAAGTATTTGAAAGTATCATAGAAAAACATGACTACCAAAATTCTTGCATACTAATATTATACGGTATGTGATGTTGACAGACACGTATTGGATAAAAAAACTACTAATTGCTTGTTAGTATTCTCTCTGTGGGCCAATATGCCAATTGTTTTTGGTTTTGAAAAACCGGATTTTTTTATTTTATTTTATTTTTTTAACTGTAAAACAACCGGATTGGTTGTTGCTCGATTTTATTAGGCATACCGGTAAATTCCATCTAATGGCTAGGGATCGTGTACTCTGGGATTATGGTGCACCTTACCTAAACTGTAGCCGTAGCATAGGATAAGGACGGAGGATTGTGACAAAAGCTAATTAATAAGGTCAGTGATGGGAAGAATTCTAAAGGATAACACACTATGGCTTCATTTGAAAAGTGAGTCGACTTTTTAACATATTAGTTTTTTTAATTTAAGGCTAAAGGGTCTTGTTTGGGTTGAATTTTCTAATTTTTTTGATTTTTTTAAAGGAAAAAAATAAAATAATTATGATTTAGACATGGTATTTTATCATATTAATTTTTTAATTAATTTTGTCTTTTTGTAACTAATTTAACTCATGCCAAACAAGGCCTAAGAGTGCACATATTCTGCAACTCAATCCCTTGTGCCAGAAAATTCCTCTTAAGCAAGGAAATTCTATCCAAAATTGGCTAAGTAGAGCTTATGATGTGCTACTACCTAATACTCAAACTGAAGCTCTAGCCCTCATCCAAGGAATTAATCTTTGGAAGATTTATAGTTTTTCTTATGCTATGTAGGAAATGGAGTCTCACAAATTGGGGGTTACCCCAGCTAACTCATGCCTTTCCATTCAATATGAGGAAACACAAATCCTACAGTTGTTGATATGTATAAGCCAGATACATTGCTAAGAAAAACTAACTCCTCATCGTGTTCCCAATATGCATATGGTACCTTAAGTGTGAGGTTTAATTGCTTCGCCACTGAAATTGAATAGTACACCTAATAAGCTGGATTTGAGAGCCATTTGATGGTTTAGAAGGATTGTCTTTGTTAGATCTTGATATGCATTGTTGGCTATTCCCCAACAGCTAAATCTTTGGAGCTCTCCAAGCTTAAGCTTTTGGGGAAATTGGTCATCTAGCAGCCCTCTCTGACAGATTTAAACAAGCTGTCTTAAATCAAGCTCTTCTTTGCATTTGTCTTCTTAATTTCTTTTGGGTAGGATGAATTGTTTCTTATCAGCAATGAAACAGAAAAAACCATAAAAAGAGAGAGGGAGGAGAAGATAAAAAAAGAAGAAAAAAGACACTTAAACTAGCATTTTTTTGTTTGCGAAATTACCTTGTTGCATCAAGTAAATGGCTTGCAATGCGTTTTCTTCTGTTAGAGGGACTGACCCAAATGGCTCTGATGCCACAGAGAGCGGGGACACCTTCCTCTTCACAGAGTATTGCTCCATTTAGGTTCCCTTCCAACACCTCAGAACTAGTAGCAGAAGAGGTTCTTATTACTTCTCTCTGAAAAATCACTTCACCGAATTGAAGGGTGGTTGAATTTGGTTTTGATTCCTTTGTAACAATACATTCGGGTTTTCCATCCATTGAGCTTGAGAGAGCCTTATAGGCCTTCTTTATTGGTTCTGCAACTAGACAACCGGTAATTCTTTGAGAGTCAACAAAGAGATACACCTGCAAAACAAAACCTAAAAATAGTCTAGAAGCCAGAGAGAGCACAAAAATCAAGAATAAATTGGAATGGAAAAAAGCAATAGAAAGGAAAACTGTAAATTCAGTTCTGAGCTTACAAACAATCAAATTTCAAAATAAATTGGGATTTATTCAAGAAGCAAAACTCATGCATAAATCGGAAGTAAAATATATGTTTTTATGAATCAAGATATCTATATGACTCTGCCAGCACAAATTTATATACAACCCAAAACTGTCGAGAAAAATTACCAAAAATGAATTGAAAAACCAAGTATAAGGCACTATTTTTTGAACCAACTATGCTAAGAACACTGAATAATTTCACATGATGGGACACTAATGTGAGACAAATGGTGAAGCCACCATCTGTCTCACATTTATGTCTCATTCTGTAAAAGATTTACTCTTTTTGAACTCACAAAAAGTACATTAGCTTCTTCAATATTTGAACACCTATTTCGTCTTAAGTGCAAGCAAAGGGCCTAAATCAATAACCTTACAGTGCTTATGAAATATCCATTCATCTCCAAGCTCCATCTCCATCATTTTTACGACCTCCCGAACCTACCAATACAAAAGTTCCACAATTGAAACTCCAAAATCACATATTGCATTCTACGATTACATACTTATCTAACAACCCAAAATGTGAATTTGAACCTTGTTCCTTTGAGGAGCAGGATCATCCTCCAACACCAAAATTATTCGCCCCCCTTGTAGTGAAGGCATACAAACATTTTTCTCGTTGCGCCAACCCTATACCATGAGCAAATTGTTTCAACCAATCATCCCACTAAACAAACCACATAAGCAAATTTTTACAAAATTGTTTTTTTTAAAAAAAAAAAAAGATAAATTATAAATATACTCTATGAGTTTTGTTTAAAATATAAATTTTCTTTTATAATTCTAGAAATCACATCCCACCACTCAAAGTTTTTAATTTTATAACAAATAGTCCATTTTATTAATACATCATCGGTCAATTAACATATAAAGATATAAGAAATTTATTTCAATTAATAATTCAAGTACTTTTATTATTGTATAAAAAAATAAGTAAATTTTTTTTTTTTTGGGTAATTTTTCAAACCACACAAAACAATTTATATTTTAAACAAAATTCAAAAGGTATATTTGTAATTTGGGCCTGGCTTTGGTCCAATCTGCCATCGGATTGGACAGTGCTGTTGGGCCCGTAGGGGCCCACCACGGATCCCGTTTTGAAAATCTAAACCGTTCAATGTGTAAAATTCGTCGAGTACTATGTGACTGTAAAAAATCACGTTGATCGAATATCAATAACTATGTGATCAAATCAGTTTTGTATAAAAAAAATGGACGGTGAATAAATTAACGGTTGATAAAAAACTGTTTTAAACACATAGCTATCGATATCCGATCAACGTAATTTTTTACAGAAATATAATACTCGACAAATTCTACACATTCAACGGTTTAAATTTTCAAAACAGAACCCGTGGTGGACCCCACGGGCCCAACCCCGTGGTGGACTGGACCAAGCCAGACCCTTGTAATTTATCCAAAAAGAACAAAGAAAAAAAAAAGATGTACCTTGAATTGAATACCACGAGTGTAATTCTTGTGAAATGTATTGTGAACCTTGTCATCCCCTTCATCACCAGCAGCATATTTGAACCCACATGTGGTACATGTACGCAGAAGAAAATCAGATTGCCCCAATTCTAAATGGAACTGGGCATAGCTTCTTTTTCTGTTTAAAATTTTCTTAGGTACAGTTGATACAGGTTTTGACAACAAATCCCCCAAATCAGAGCTCTTTGGCACTTCACTGATCCAACAAAAAGACCAAGAAAAACCCACAAAATAAACGACATTATAAGTACCAATTATCATTAAACAGTTTGTATACAGTTGATTTCAAGAAATAGAACAAAAACACTATTTTGAGAGAGAGAGAGAGAGGGAGAGAGAGAGAGAGAGAGAGAGTACCTATCTGGGTTTGGAGTTCTACGCTGGTAGGTGATGCGAATTTCTGGTTCTTTCTTGTTTGGGTCTTCATTGCCGAATAAATCATCGAAAATGGGAGGTGGGTCTGGGGATTTGGGTGCAGAAGATGAAGAAGAAGAAGAAGAGGATTTGAAGAATGAAATGATCTTTGATTGCATATTTTTGTGTTCTGTTTTCGTTTGTGTCTCTCTCTCAGCAGAGTTGAGTTTTGGAACAAATTGATCTTTTTTAGGTTTTGTTGTGTTTATGCCGCCAAATAAATTTTGTGATTGAATTTTGGCGCCCAATAGTTACAATTTTCGGTTCGGTTTTTCTTGTGTTATGGTTCGATTTTGTTGGAGGATTTGTACGAGGTTTGAAGGATTTTATAAAAAAATCATAAAATTTCATATTGAGAATTAATGAAAAAAAAAATTTATGAAAACTAGTCTATACATATCTTATTTTCTAATTTTTATAACAAAAATTGTATTATATTGATCACTTATCTTCTAATGCTCAAAGTATTAAAATATAATAATTCAAACAGTTTGATTTGTATTAGTAGTGTACAAAATTTCAAAATCGAAACAAACCATACATAATGAAAAATATACAAAAATTTGAAATTATAATTGACTTTGAGCGGCAGATTCAATTCCATCAATTTTTCTTATAACCTTTCTTGTGGACATGGATTAATGCTTTGTTTGTTTTACTTAAAAAATACTTTTTACATTATTTTATCAAAATAAATGTTAACAAAAAATTATAATTGTGTTAAGGTTCAAATCATGCAAATCCCATTTTCTTTTGCCCAAACCCACGAGTTTAATGATATTCAGTTGTTGTCTTAAGCTTCTTAATTGTTGAGGTCTTGAGCCAATGGCTTCTAGTTGGGACACATTTCGCCAATCCTTGCATACTACTAGTTAGGGGTGGTTGTAGATCAAATTTGTGCGGTTTGCGGTTCGGTTTTGACCCCCCCGCGTCTATGTGGTTTGGAAAAAAATCAACTTGCAACCACCGCAATGCGGTTTGTGGTTTGTGTGGATAGGGTTCACAGATGTGCGGGAGGTTGCATGCGGTTTGCGATTTGGACTTTTTTCTTTAAAAAATTATTTCTTTAAAAATACTAATAGCAAAATCACACCAACAAAACCAATAATTCATCAAAAACATTAAATTAGACACATTTGAAATAGAGCACAAATTCAATTTTTAATAAAAGAAACAAAAATATGACAAGTAGAGAGTTGCAGTATTTTTTTAAGTTGCCAAGCTTTTTTCTACCAAATAAAAAAACCAAAGCTACAGTCACTCTACATAACAAAAAGTTTAAGCATACATTACTCTAAATTGTGGAGGGAAGAAGGAATTTGAACCCCTTAGTCAAAAAAACTGAAGCCCATATCCTGCAGCAAGTTGGAATAAAAGAGAAATCAATACCATTATGTTTGAAAGTTGTTCATATGCAAAGAGCATGCATGAATGCACAATGGTCCAAATTTTTTTTGTTTTTTAAAAATAAATAAATAAATAAAAATTATATATTCTATGTGCGGGCGGGTTGCAGCGGGTGCAGTTCAAGCTCGCAATCCGAAAACTTCCTATATTCCAAACCACACCCTATCCTATTGTATTTGTGAAACCGCCCATACGTGTGCATGTAGGGTCGGATAGGGCGGGTTGTGCAAGTCGGATAAACCTATGCCCAGCCCTACTACAAGTTGGGGAATTGACACCTCGTTTAAAAACATTTATTATAATAATTTTTTAAATTTTTATAAAAAAAAATATGTAAAAAAATAGAAAGAGTGATGTCCATTCATAATGCCCAAAGGGTACAGCAAATGCAGTTTTATACCTATCCTGTTCAGCAATTTGTATATGCCAATATCCAGATTTAAGACCAAATTTGGGAAATATAACAAAATCTTGTAAACTATCTAAAAAATCTTTTTTTTATTAGGAATTGGATATCTAATCCATTTCAGAGCATCATTCAGAGGTTTATAATTGATAACAAATCTAGTAGCACCTCTTTCAATTTCAACATTTTTATTAGCATAAAAAATAGTACAACTCCAAAGAGAATAACTTTTCCTGATTAATTTTTTATCCAAAAGAGCCGCTATTTCAATTTTACATAATTCCATATATTCTTTCTTCATTTGTGCAGGTCTAGCCTTTGTTGGAATTTGTTTTTCATCAAAATCATATTCATATGGAAGAGTGACAATATGTTTTTTCCTATCCTAAAAAGCATTAGGAATGTCACTACATATCTCTGATTCAAATTCTAAAGCAATATATATATTCTTTTTATTTTGTAAAGAAGATTGCTGAAGTTTTTGTTCAATACTGAGATTATATACTTCTTTTTGCAAAAAAATTAATTGTTTTTCTTTAAAAATTATAAAATCTTTTATTTGGTCCAATTCTTTCGTATTTGGTTCAGTTATAAATTCAAATACAATATGTTGAGTGCTAATAGTTATATGAATGCCTTTAGAATCAATTTTCTCAATTGGCATTAAAAGACATAAAAAGGGTGTTCCTAAAATTAATGTCTGAGACATATTTCTTGTGACGACCAGGTCTTTTCTTCTCTTTTCTTTCTTTCTTCGCTACGTTCTCCTTTTACTCCCATTGGATTTGAAATGTTCGGAAATAGTTCTCTAAATAAAGTTCTTGTTCTTGTTTTGTTCGGTGTTGAATTTCACCTGTTCCACAGGGTGCACGTTTGGGTTTGGAGTGCCCGAGGGTTGAACCAGAAATTCTTGGGCTGTTGGGCCAGGGCCACACGTGCGGGGCCCTAGGTCGCACATGCGAGAGGCCAAGCCGCACGTGCGGGGAGTAGGGGAGGCTGGGCAGTGCATACTAAAATAAATGCACGTGCGTGAAAGAGGTGCGAAGAGGTGCCGCACGTGCAGAAGTGATGGCCACACGTATGGGAAAAGCCATGAGGCTCTGTTTTTCTCTTCTTTTGGGCTGTTTGTGTATCATTTTAATTACTTCTCTCTATATCTCTACCTCAAAAACAAGATTAAACCTTTTATCCTTCACCATCCATTGAAGATTGGTCCATAGTCTTTTCATCAACATTGTAGAGCCTCTTGAGAACCACATTGTGTATGGTGGAAATCTCCTTTCAACACCATCAAAGCTAGGGCTTCATCTCCTCTTTCTTCATCAAACATTGAGGTAGGGATTTCTTGAGTTATATATACAAGTTTTGCTATATTGTTGTTGATTTAAAAGTTTTCTTGAAGTTATGGTGTTGAATCTACTTTGTGAATCAAAATGTTGAGAGTTCTAAAAAGCGGGTTTGAATCTCAATCTTATTAATTCTAAAGGGTTTCCTTTTTATTAAACTTAAGGAAAATGGTTTTGAAAGGGGTTTTACCAAGAAAATGAGAAATGTTTTGTCTTGGATGAAAAACCCTAGAAATTGGGGATTTTGGAAATATATGAAAAGAATGCCCATGGATTTTTTCTTTATTGTTTTTTGTCAAGAGAATGGATGAGAGTAAATTTTATCGTATGTTTAGCTAGATAGCAATCTACTTGACCATGTATTGTTGTGATGTGGCAAATGGTTGTGCACCATGGAGTGTTAAAATTGTAAAATCTTGGAGATTAATGTTTGAAAATATCAAATGAGGTCTTAAAGACACCAAATTGATAAGAATTATGCATGATGAGAAATTATTGTTATGTATTGATGGCTTACGGTTATTTTGCAAAACAACATTGGAGAGAGGAAAAGAGAAATGTATTTGTTTTGATATTGTCGTGAATTGTGCTATGGTAGACAAAGAGGATAAGAAATGTTTTGTTGTATACAAATGTCTATACATATACATATTTACATTGATGAGGAATTTCTTGCGTATGAAAGATTTTGGGACATGAAGATGACATTTACATGTTGTTATGTTTTGAAAAGATCAAATGGTGAAAGAACCGATAGTATGGTTGATTGTAGCATTGGCATTAAGAACATCTTGCATATCATGAGGATTGGTTTGAAAAATTGGAACTTCCTTTGAGAATGAAATGTTGTAATTGAAAACTATGGAAATGTTATGGGGTAAATACGTTGGTAAGTCCGGTTAGAGGGTATGGATGAATTGATAAGTTGGCCTGAGTGTCCGAAGTGAAAGATCAAAAACACGCACAGAGGAGGTACCACTTCCCTTCCGGTTAGCAACCGGTAAAGTGGGGTTATTGGTAGTGCTTATTAAGCCTTCTTGCAGACACCAACCTAGGGATTACCTGAGTCGTATTTACTGCCCCTATTGATTTAAAATGGGAAGTTTTCTTTGGAAATTGTTGAGATTGCAAACTTTTATTGAAACATGATGACCATCAAGAAGAACATGATATGAAACTTTCTTTATAATGGCAATGCATGGCATGGACATGTGCATTTTTCATTAAGAGTTTGCATAACTGTATATACTTTGTAAGAAATTCTCTACTGGGCTTTATGCTCACCCTTATGGGATTTGGTGCAGGTAAAGATGTAGTGATTCCGCCGAGCTGAGAGCGTGGATATGTTTTGAGAAGAGTATATTACTCTTTTATTTTGTTGTAAATTTTTGTAAAGCCAAGGGCTAACATGTATGGGTCTGGTGGATCATTTTGGTGTAACCAGGCTCATGCCTTGGAACTTGTAAGCCCTTGAGGGCCTATATTCATTTTGGTTTAATGATTTCACATGCTATAGATTCATGTGCTAGCTTCGATGAATGTATATTTGCATGTGAGATTACTTTTGTATAAACACTTGGAGTTATGTAATAGAATATGGTGATTGCGACCTTCCTGTATCTATTGTGTATCGGGATTATTATCTTATGATTGTGGGTTGATGTATTATATTTATGTTGGATTATTTCGGGGTGTTACATTTCTGATAAGAACAAATGATGTTGATAAACAAATTCCTTGATTGCAGATAAGAACTTCGGACAATTTATATTTAATAATCATTCTGGTACCACTAGCACTGGTTAATGATTGGATGGTTTTCTCAAAATATTCAGAGGGAATAAGACCTTCTTGAATGCGATTTATGTTAGCTCCACTATCAACAAGAGCTATAGCATCTTTAATGACAAATCTATTATTAATAACAAATGTTACTTTTATATACCATTTCTGATAAGTAATTTGGTTTACGAACATTAAATATTTATTTTCAGAGGGGGTTCTTCGGATACTTCATTAAGTTTGGCTTTATTCTTTTGATCAGCTAATGTAGAAATTTGTTGTTATAGTTAAGTTATATCCTGCTTGTCTTGTTGCTGATGAGTTTTTAACTCTTAAATCTCCAGTTTTAATTTATTAACTTCTCTTCGGAGATCATTAAGTTTAGCAGGGGTTTCAGGTTTAGGAGTAATATTTTCCATTCGCTGAACAACCTCTTTAAAACTATAATAATTAGGTTGCATGTTTTCATCAGAGGATTCCTGAGATTTTTGATAACAAATTTCAAGCATTTTAAGCTTTAAATTTGGGTCTTTAATTTGATCAATAAGTTTTAAAACATCTCTTTGTTCATCAGTAAGAACATTAATACTAGGTTCTGTAGATAAGCCATTCATTTCAACAATAGCTGTCCAATAATTAGATTCAGCATTTAGATTGCAACATCCATTTCTACAACCTTCTTGTACTGGTTCTTCTGAAGAAGTATCACTATCTAAATATAATTTTGCAATTTCATCACTATTTGGATCAGAATTAGCTTCGGAATCAGAGGAGTTAAGCATGAGCTTATAAACCTTTATTTTTTGTTTAGTTCTGCATTTATTGGCATAATGGCCTATTTTGCCACATTTCTAACGTTTTGCTGAAGACTTATCTTTTTTCTAAAAAGATTTTGGAGTTAAACTTTTAACAATTGTTTTTATTTTAGAGGATTTTTGCTGAGGAAAGTATTTCTTTTTCTTTTTATTAGTAGATTTCTATTCTTTCATTTTTCTTGATTTCTTATTTTTCTTCAGGTAAGGAATTTTTAAGTCATAAGCAAATTGATCACAAAATTCTTCCAATTCTTTTTTACTAGAAAGATTTTTTCTTTTCATTTGATATTGTAATTTTAGGTCATTACAGAGGGACAATCCTTCTTCGATAATAATGGCTATTAATTGACCATAAGTATAATTATTATAAAGAATATTCATACCACAATTTTGGTCTCTAAGTTTCTTTCCGATTTTTTTGGCAAAAAGAGTAGGTAGACCATCAATGAATTTGTCTTTCCAGTGGTGTAGACGACCCCGAACGTCCCGGGAGGGAATCCTGTTTTGTTCATTGGGGCTTACTACAGTTCGGACTCAATGTCATGATCCTGTATCTAATCTCGCGGAGTGCAATGCAAGACCGATGAATCATCAAAGAGTCCAAATCCGGCAAATCGTTTTGAAAAACTGATTTTTAGAAAGAAGTGTCAAACATGGACTGCTTTTCCAGATACAGAGTTGCCACCTAAATATTTTATTTTGGGGGAGTTTAGGAAACCCTGACTTGTGCCTAAGGCCACATGTCCGTCATCACCAAAGTTGTCTCGGCTCAGGAACTTGGGTACGATTGGGGAAGTCACTTTGTGAGCACCCCCGCTCACCTGATCAAAGATCGGCCTCTACTAACCATGATATCGAGTTTTGAAAACATTATGTGCTCTTATTCCGGTTTATTAGCCTAGAATTACTATGTGATGCGCACAGCATACAAGTATAAACTGGATCGCCAAAGTTGGAACAAAACATCTCATGTTTGTTTTTTAAAGCGGTTTGCTACTCGCAAGTAGGCTAAAATGCGGATTTTGCCACCCTTAAGTAGGCTTAGATAATATGGTGATTTGCCACTCTCAAGTGGGCTTAAAATTCACAATCAATGAATTGTTCCAATTCAAATAATCCAACCTCCACCCACAGGCATTCAGGCAATTATATCACATAAGCACATAGCCTCATGGTAAGCATGCTATCATGACAGTCACTCGCACGCATGCAAGGATGCTAAAACATAAACACTTACCGAGTACTCCGAGCTAAAACAGAAACTAGTTAGTAATCAATGCATGATCCTAACTATGCTAAGAATGTCTAATGCAACACATGCAAAAATGCAACTACAATAGACTCGGCTATTCTAAGATGGCATATGAGATGCAACAATCGATACGTGTATTCAACTTGAAATTGAAATACAATGCAGTTAGCATGATGCACCGAGCCCGGTGCATGCAATACAGATGAATGAATGCAAACATGCGAACATATAGAAGCTAATTGAAATAGGCCCTAAAACTAACCATCATAAGCTGGTAAATAAAAGGGAGAAAGACGTGGGGTTGGAAGACATACATATCACACACGCACACTTATTACAACATTGCCCTCTCTCAGAGAGTCCGAATGAATAGTACAGAATAAACTAGCTAATCTAAGCTAATTAAACTAATTATTACACAACATTAATTAATTAACGAATTAACTAAGGAAACTAGCGTGCAAATTAAACAAAATGGCCTGCCTCAGCTCTGTTCCGAATGATAGGGATGCATGCATGCTCAAGTCGCCTTGTCGGGAAATCCATCGCGATGCCCCGATTTGCCTCTATTTGCAACTGGTCCCAGAACACTGTACAAAGCTCCAAAAGGCTGCTGACCAGTTTTTGCTGCTGGTTTCCGGTTTGCTGCAACAGAGAGCAAGAAAGGGGCATGGCAAAGTACTTTCAACATATGTGTGTATGACCACTCTCTCCATCATTGCACAAGCTCCAGGGAGTGTAGTCCTCGATCCTCGTGCCACCAATCACGCATCTCGATGCATGATGGCCGAGGAGTCGGATTGCATGACTCAATGGGACATGAATGCACATATGAACAACTAAAACCAACAACTCCATCATGGATGGTCAAGAGTGTTGGTGACCGGGAATCGAGGCACATTTGATCACTTGGAGTATGAAACATTCCTCGTTTCCCGTGTTTGGACTAAACCCTACTCCAAACACAATGCAACAAATAGAATGGCATGGCATGTACAAAATGTAACTCTAGTATGCAATCCTAAATGTAATGCGACTAAGTGATGTAAACATGCAAAGGATGACATACAAGCATGCAAATGGCATACACAATGCTATGAACTAATCAATGTCATACTCAATGCACATGAATTATATGGCATGCATACACAATGCACTAACATACGCGATGTTATGAACGAGGCATACTCAATGCAATGATCGAACATGCAACAACATGGATTATATGGCATACACAATACAAGATGGACTTAAACCAAGATAGGTGAGCCTTAGCCACACCTAAATCAGTGGCCAAACATGATGAAATTAGGTAACCAAACACATGCAAATATACACAAATGCAAGGGACCAAACCTAAGGCACCAAATGCAACTCTACCAAAGCATGGCAATGGATGAAATATGGCATACAATCACACATTTTTTAGCTCTGAAATGACATGCAAGATGTTCCCGAATCATGTAAACACCTCACACAATGCATGCTAAATGACCCGGATACCGAAACTAGTGAAGTGCATTACACTAGAGGTACACAAAGCAATGCTCAAGTGACCCAACCAACCCCAAACAGTCCCTATGCAGGTCCAAGACAGTGGGAAAATGGTCTAAAATGGTGGCTCAAAGGGCACGAAAATAAAGCTCATGCAATGGTCCATAAATTAGGCATACAAGCACAACCCTCAAATGCATTTAAGGAGTGGAAAACATGGGAACATGGCAACCTTACATGCTCTGAAATACCATGCACAATGACCCTAAAACATGCAAACACCTCAATATAAGCATGCAATAGGCTTCAAAACTCAAAGCTAGGCAAGGGTATTGAACTACAACCATGCATAACAAACATCAATCGACCAGGAGGCCCAAAAATAGAGCTAAGGCAGTCCAAAACATGCACAAAATTAGTTTAATGCATGGCCAAAAAGTGCTAGAATCAAAGGCCAAACTAGCATGCAATGTAAGCTAGTAAAGAGGATTTGCACTACAAGCATGTGAGGCAATCAAGAGGCCACTAAACCAGCAAAATTCAGAGGTATGACATGCAAAATAAAGCCCAAAAACCCACTGAAACATAGTTAATGCATGCAAGAATGGGATGCTCATTTGATAGGCTATGAACAGGGTTATTCTACACATGCAAGATGGACACTCAATATGGAAAAACAAGCTTTGGACAGAGGCTATGAAGGTCCTAAAACTCACCAAAAACGGCCTGAAACATGGCTTGGAAGCATGCAAATAAGGGCTCCTTTGTTAGGCCAAAATATGCTAGGAAACAAAACACGGGGAGAGAGGGTCACCCCTCTCTTATTTTGGCACTCAAAATAGCATTCTAGCCACTAAAAATCCACTGGATTTCAATGGCTAAAATTTCAAACAAAGGTCAATGTAAAAGCCCTAATGCATGGCTCAAAATAAGGTAAAATGAAGCATGCAAGGGGGTAGATGACCCCCAACAGAAAAATGATCTTAAACAAACATGTTAAGGACCTCAAAATAAGACTTTTTTTAGTTTACACCAAAGCTCTAAAATGTTTGCAAGTATGGCTAAAAGATGAAGCAAAATAAAGCTCAAAAGAGGGAATAGGGTGTTACCCTTGTAGCTCAGCAACTCCAGCAGCTTATGGACCAAAAATGCAGCTCCTTGGAATCTCTCAAGACCCTCTAAGAAGCTTAGGTTGGTGTTGGAAGTGTTAGGCTAAGAGGTAGTGTGCAAAGGGGCAAGAACATAGCACTTTTTAAGCCTACAGGGAGAGATATAGAG